CAAAGAAAGAAGTGGCCAAGGCTTTTGGCTGTCCTGGGTGTAGAAAAACAGCTTTAAACATGCAAGAGCATGGGGAATATTATGCAAAGGAAGCCTTAGTGAATCAGCAATAGACTGAGCTTGGCTCTGTTAAGAGATGACTGGGAAAATATCAGAAGCTTAGGTGAGTTTTTAATATATTTAATTGTAGAGCTAGGAATAAATTAAAAAAATAAGAAAAACAGAAAAGTAGAAGTCAATGGACTTCGTTATCCTACCCAGAAGAAAAGTAGAATAATGACATATAAACATTATAATAAACGTTTTATGGTTTGGAAAAGTACAAACGATGCAATTAAAAGTGAAAAGGAGAGAGGACAGGAAAGAAGCTCATTGGTTGTTGTGTGGCCAATAGGCGAAAGTCAAAGCATACTATTGAAAATTGACCTAGTAGGTAATAAAAAGTTAAATAAGAAAACAGGAGCTACTGGCATCAAAATGTTATAATTACAAAAGCAAATGACAGAACAAATTCCTAAATACCAAAAGAAATGGGGGGAGTGGGGAAGAAAAGAAAATGCATACAGAGAAATACCATAAATATATTTTACACATAATAATTACATAAAACACAACGGAATTAAGATCAAATCAATCATATCAATATATGTGAATGAGTGTAAGCCACCTTTTTTATCAAAGGTTTTTTAATTTTTTATCAAAAGAAAAAAATTTTCAAAATTAGCTCACAAGGCCAGGCCCAATCTACGCTGTATACGAAGCATACTGAATTTAAGAGATCCTGAAAGGCTCAAATAAATGAATGATCAATGGGATTCCAGGCAAAAGAATGAAAGTAGAGGTTGCAAGCCTAATATCAAGCAAGGTAAAATTCATGCTAAAAAATACTAAAAGTGACAAAGAAGTCATCTTTTAAGGCTAAAAACTACAAATTGCAAAGGAGATATAATAGTTACGAACATCCATGCATCAAACAACACAGCAACCACCTTTATTTAACAGAAACTACAGGAAACAAAAGGAAAAATAGAAACACACAAATAATAGAAAACTTTATACACATCTCTCAGAACAAAACACGTCCAGTGGACAAAACATAAGTAACAATGCAGAAGACATAGACAACATAATCAACAAGCTATCGCTTATGAATATATATAAATGTAGAACATTACACCCTAATGCTCTTTCTTCTCAAGTACACACAGAACATTCATAACATTAGGTCTCCACGAAGTAGATTATACTGTATACAGAGTAATAAGATTAGAAATGAATAACATAATACAAACGAAAAGGCCCTCTGACCTAGAAATTTAAAACTCCTTCTATTAAAAAGCTCGTAGGTAAGAGGAAAAATTAAAACCAAAATTACAGAATTTTTAATGAGTAGCAAATATGCATTATTAGAATCAATCCGCAGTGAGCAGAAGAGATTCCATAGCCTTGAACAGTTACATCCATTAAAATCAGTACCAAGGAAAGAATGAAAGTAACTGATTAAATTTCCAACTCAAAAATGAACAAAAAAAGGAAAGCCAGAGAAATCCTAAGGAAATAGATAATAAAGAATAGTTGATTTCATCTTTGGAAGAAAAATAACAACTACAGAGAAACCCCCCAGCCCCCACTAGCTAATCTAATCAAGAGAAAAAGGGAGCCCATCCATGCTGAGTCTGAGCCCATGACTAGGCAGGATGACATACTTACGCACACAGAAAGGGGTCTTGCCCGACCAGTGATGATCCTGCTGGCAGATGCGCACGGACATGCCGATGAGGCGGAAGCCGGCGTTGCACTGGTACACCACGCTGCCCCGGTAGTTGTAGTTCTCGCCGTTGATGTGTCCATTGACAATAGGCTCAGGAGTCCCGCAGTGTCCAGCTTCGGTGGAAGATGGGAGGGACAGTAAAGCAAACATGAACTTACAGAAAACAAGGTGCAGCTTGGCCGGGGGTGCAGACACGGATGGTGGGGAAGAGGACCAAGTATCCAAGCTTTCCTCCCTTGTCCCACCTCCCCCTGCAAGTAGCAATTCAGGAGTGACTTCAGGAATTCTGGATATGAAAGAAATGGTGTTGAGGACTCGGCAACCCCAGATCCTAAAGTTGCCTCTCAAATGGCCATCTCTTACTGAACTTTAGTTTCTGTGTCTGTACAAGGGTGAAAAATGATCATGGATGCTTTCCTGCCTCTGGGATCATCCCTCTGCCTTTCTTACCAACCGAGATTTACGGAGCATCTACTGTGTGGAGGATCCCAGTGTCTACATTAAGGCAGTCAAAGTGGAGTTGTGTTGAAAAGTGAAAACGGATGGTTTGGTTACATTCATACTTCCTTCTCCTTGAGTGGCACCGAGGTGAGTTTTTACTAACTGGGGTTTGGGTAGAGTGTATTCCTGGCATTCCTACCAGCTTCCTTTAGCTCTGTGTGGAAATAACCCACAACTGTGTCCCTCGCAGGGGCCCCAGACAGTGGGGGTGGGGTATAGCCTTATTCACTCCAGGACAGACCATCCGGTCTATCCCATTAGGTTTGTGTAATATGGATCTTCTTTTGGACTTGAGGGGTATGAGAAATGAGTGAGAAGAAGACAGAGGAATCTGAGGCTCAGATAGGGAATAGATTAGCCATGGGAAAAGGATAACTTTGTCCTTTGTAAGCTGGGTTGTTTTCATGCTTCTGTCATTTCCTTGGTGTGTTTGTGTGTGTGTGTGTGTCTATGTATACATCTACACATGTACATATTGTCTGTAAATTTTTCAAACATATAATATAAAAGTTATTCTCAGGTTGTTGCAGGAGGGTGTCCCTGCATGTTTCCCAAATATGGGGACTGGGGCTCTTTATATTAGGGCCAATAAGAAGGGCTGTCTTTCTGATCACAATGAGAAGCTCTTAAAAAGCTTGCCTTATCAAACTTACAGTTCTTCTCATCCTTTTGGGTGCCCTGCAGAAGCTAGTTCAGGGTTTTAGTCATGCTCAATGCCCAACGGTTGGCATTTAGATGAAGCATTTTATGTCAGTAGATAAAATGATACTGTTCAAAGAGTGGATCCCAGCTTGGGAAAGGTCCTGAGGACAATAACTGGTCAGGATGGGCCTGGCGAGTTCACTTACCCAGGCAGCGGACTTCAGAGCCACTCCAGAGCCCATTGGCCATGCACTCCCGCACCCTGGAGCCCACCAGTGTGTACCCGGAGTTGCAGGAGAAGATGGCTGTGGCCCCATAGACAGACAGAGTCCCGATTCGGTGCCCATTGGGGGGGATGGGGAGTTC